ATGCAGGTGGTTGTTACATTTGATACATGCTAACCCATGGTGTAAAAGATCACATCACTTCAACGATGCAGTTCTGAGAGGAAACTGGTTGATCCAGTGTCTCTTATTGATGAGATGGAAATGTGGTGTATTCTTTCCAAAATGTTGGTATGAATGTATGTCTGCATTTCTGGCTGTAAAAACAGAAACAAGTCTTAGAATGTATTTGTATTAGACCATAAGGTATAGGAGCAGGTGTAGGCCATTCACCCCATGAAGTTTGCTCCACCTTCAGTGAGATCACTGCTGATTTTGATAATCCTCAAATCCACTGTCCCACCTTTTCCCGTATCACTCTTGATTCCTTGACTGATCAAGAATTTGTTTGTTTCAACCTTCAGTATACTTAATGTGATGGAGAATTCTGCAGATACACTACAATCTGAGAGAAGAAATTCCTCTTCATCTCTGGGTGACCCCTTTCTCTGAGATTATACCCTGATAAGTCCCCAATGAATCTTCTATGGTTCAATCAGGTTGCATCTCATTTTTCTGAACCTCAATGAGTGCAGGCCCAACCTACTGAACCTCACCTCATGAGACAGTTCATTCTTCCCTGGGATCAACATAATGAACCTTGTTTAGATTGCCTCCAATGCCAGTCTATCTTAGCTGAGATAGGGGGACCAAAACTGTCTGTCAAAACTTTGTCAAGGCATAGCATTCTAACTGATTTTCATCCAAAGATAGATTCATAGAGTCATGCAAAGCAGAAAAGGCCCTTCGGCCCATCAGGTCTGCACCGACATAACTACCACTAAAAGTGTGCTCACCCCAATTTCCTGCACTTGTTCCATATCCTTAAATGTTATGATATTTGAAGTTCTCATCCAAAAATTTAAGAGTTTGAGTTTTCCAGCCTCCAGTACCTTCCCAGACAGTGCCTTCCAGATTCCCATCACCCTCCGAGTGAAAAAGGGATTTCCCAAATCTCCCGAATCTCCTGCCCCTTGCCGTAAAACTATACCCTCCCATGATTGACCCTTCAACCAAGGGGCACAGCTGCTCTGTATCCACTCTGTCCCTACCCCTGGCAATCTTATACGCCTCAATCATGTTCCCTCCCACTCCCACCCTCTTCCCCCAACCGCCTCAGTCTTCTTTGCTCTAAAGAAAATAATCCAAGCCGATCTGGTCTCTCTTATGGTTTAATTTCTCCATCCCAGGCAGCATCCTGGTAAGCCTAAACAAAAATCAAAAGAACTACAGATGCTGTCGGAAACAAAAACAGAAGTTGCTGGAAAAGCTCAGCAGACCTGGCAGCATATGTGAAGAGAAATCAAAGTTAACGTTTTGGGTTGAGTTACCCTTCTTCAGAACAAACCTGAAATGTTAACTCTGATTTCTCTCCACAGATGCTGCCAGACCTGCCGAGCTTTTCCAGCAATTTGTTTTTGATCCTGGTGAAACTCCTCTGTACTCTTTCTAGTGCTGTCATATTCTTACTGCAGTGAGATGACCAGATCTGCACACAGTACTCCAGCTGTGGTCTAACCAATGCTCTGTACAACTCCAACATGACCTCCCTGCTCTATACTCTATGCCATGACTGACGAAAGCAAGTGTCCCATATGCCACCTTAACTATCCTATTCACTTGTTCTGCCATCTTCAGGGATCTGCGAATAATCACCCCATGATCCCTCTGTTCCTTTAACCTACGCACTGTCCTGCCATTCATTAAATACTCCATCATCTTTTTGTTTCTTCCAAAATGCATCACCTCGCACTTATCGGGGTTCAATACCATCTGCCACTGGTCTGACCTTCTGACCAAGCCATATATATTTTCCTGTAATGTACAAATATCTTTGCTATTAACCGCTCTCCCAATTTTGATGTCATCTGCAAATTTGCTTAACGTTCCCATCCCATTTTCATCTGCATCATTTATGTATACAACAAACAACAAGGGTCCCAGTACTGATCCTTGTGGTACGCTGCTAGACTCTAGCCTCCAGTCACTCTCACAGCCTTCTCCTACTACTCTTTGTGTCCTATTACGAAGCCAGCTTCTGATCCATCTCGACAAGTTTCCCTTAATTCTTTGTGCTTTAACCTTCTCAATCAGTCTCCCACGTGGGACCTTGTCAAAAGCGGTGCTAAAATCCAGATAAGCCAACTGAACTTCCCTCATCCACACACTTGATCACATTTACAAAAAAATTCCAACAAATTTGTTCAGTATGACCTCCCTCCGACAAAACCATGCTGACGATGCATAATTAACTCATGCCGTTCCAAGCGGGTATTAATTTGCTCCTTCAGAATTTTCTCCACTAATTTCCCTACCACTGATATGAATCTCACCAATCTGTAATTTCCTGGTTCATCTCTACCACACTTGTTGAAAAGTGGAGCCACATTTGCCATCCTCCACCCTACATCATGAACAGTGATGACACTTGCAGCTTCTGTTCACCTTCATTCAACTCATTATCTTTGAACTGTCAAGGAGAATTTAATAACAAGCTTACCGTTGTTTATTTGAATAAATTATCACTCGGTCCTCTGACCACATCAACTCTAGTTGTGAAAATGAATGCAACCTGTGATTCGAGTAAACAGTCAGTAAAGTTGCACTTTCCCTGGTAATTGCTGCAGTATCATAATGTACAATACACCAGTTAATAGTCAGGAGTATTTTTAGGAACTTAGACTTTGTTCGAAATTTGTCCATCAATACCCGTGAAATTACGCCACCTTTACGCACAACTCATGTGAGTGCTAGCTCCAGATTCTCAGAGCAACTTAAAACACTAAAACTGTGAAATTCACAGAGCTGCTGATGCTGGTCCTATGGTAGCATTGAAGACCTAAAATGATATAGACCACTCTGTCAGACGCGTCTCATGCAGACTGCATGACACTAACTGCTGGAAGGGTGTTCGTGTGGGTGAGCCATGTGTGCAGTTGTTGTCAGGAATGATCAGATTGTGAACGAGTCATTCGGGCTGATTTGATTCCTCTCTTTCAAAATTGGGATCATTTGTGTCCAATGAAATAGCTCGCCAGCTGCGAAAAGCTCAATGTACAACTCCCCTCATCATTAGTGTCATTCAAAGGGCAAATCTTCATCTTGGAGGTACTTTCAATTTATCCTGCTGTGGAGAGATTTATGGAAATTCGGTGCCTTGTTTTCAGCAGGCCATATTTGAGCCACTGCATTCAAACAGGAAAGAAAGAAGATTTGGTCACCCAGGTCTGTTAGAGATAAGGGAACTGTGATGGCAGTGCTTGTGACCTGCAACATGACTGAGCAATGGTGCAGATGCTATAGTAGGAGAACTCTCTGAAGTGGGAGGAGGTAGAAGGTTCTCAACAGAAAGTATTACTCATCACCTGTTTTGAAAAAATACTTCTCATACACGCACTTTTATAGAAACAATGACTCAGGCTTCATAAGGGGGTAGAATCATAGAATCCCTACAGTGCAGAAAGAGGCCATTTGGTCCATCTGGTCTGCACTGACTTTCCGAATAACATCCTACCCAGACCCAACCCCCTTCCTGAATGCTTTAACACCTCATTTCCCATGGCTAACCCACCCACCCTGCACTTGGCTGGTCACTACAGGGCAATTTAGCATGACCAAGCCACCGAACCTATACATCTTTAGACCGTGGGAGGAAACCAGAGCACCTGGTGGAAACCCACGCAGACAGTCACCCAAGGCTGGAATTGAACCCAGATCCCTAGAACTGTGAGGTGTCGCTGAGTCTCTGTATCATTGAACTTTACACCATCCTTCAATAGGGTCTGTAACCTCACATAAAGATGGCACTGTCACTGCTCGCAAATGACACAATTGCAATAATTCCAAACGGCAGTGGTTGATGTGACCATCAATTTTTGCATTCGGAGGTGATGGAGAACATGTGTGCAAAGAGAGGCAATTGGTTTTTTTTCCAGCAAAGACTGAGGGGGCATGTAACATCTGTACAATATTGGGATTTCAGATAATGCAAGGAGCTACTGACGATATCAATGTGCAAGAATCTTTGCAAGCATCTCCATGCCACCAGGGAGAAGTGCTGGAAAGACCACGGTTCACATTCTGTTATGACTAGTTGGTATGCAACTATGGACTGACCAACACTCAGTCAATGCTCGATATCTTTACAACAGCTATGATGCCTTCATCCTGAAGAAGTTTCTCATTCTTACTGCCTTTGAGCCTCCAGACAGAATCAGAGGGTGACTGTTCAGACACAAAGAGTACCCACTTGGCATCTGGCTCATGACCATCCCCTTACCCTCAGAAACTACCTGAATGGGCGAGGCCTGAAGCCAATTGCAACATCATGGAGTAAACCATCCAGTGCTCTGTCAACAAGTTCATTGTGGCCTGCTGTGTCTTCAAAAAATTTTTCATCCTGTCAATGCAGGCATTAACACCAGACATCCGGAGGCCTGGTCCACATCAGAAGTGGCAGGAAAGATACTTCCAGAACCTTTGCAGTCCAGAAAGGCTGTGTGACTGGGGACACTTAGTGTCAAGTACATTGCTGTGGGTTCAGTCACACAGGCCAATCTGGGTGAGGATGGCCAATTTCATTCCCTAAATAACATTAGTTAATTCCATAGGACTTTATGACAACTGACAGTGGATACGTGATCACTGTGAGGCAAGCTTTGTATTTTTTTTAAATTGAAACCAAATTTCAACATCAACCATGGTGGGATTTGAATCTGCTTTCCCAAAATACAAGCTGTGGCTTCTAGATTAGCAATCAAGTGGCATTATGTCTCAGACAACGCCTCTCCACTTCTCTGCATTCCAGGGCCATGCAATTCGTCATCTTAGCATTCAGCTGTAACATCTCATCATCACGCCCTTTTGCTCAAGACTCAACATAATAAACATTAACGATTCACCCTTGTGCAGTCCCTTCCTGCCTTTCTGCTCCAATGTAGTGTCATCCCAGTAACTGCAACGAGACCAGTGGATAGCTGCTGTCTTTTACTGGGGAAGACCGGGGGTGAATTTGCAAGATGATCCAAACTGCTGTGAGTGTTGATGGTTTTGGTTACATGCCCTAACTAGCAGCACTCTGAAGTGGCTGGTTTAAAGGCAGCAGCAAGAACATAGGTGAGAAGGGGCTGTGGTGAGAGCATAAATGCTGTCATCCTAATAATCTGTTAGTGAACAAAGTGCCAAACAGGCAAGGGATATTGCAAGCCCCTTTGAAAATCAAGTGCAGAACAAGGATTACAGTAGTCTGTGCTTGCACTAGGAAGGTATGCATATTCTAATCCCAGTCTGAGCTTCCATTGCAACACTGAGACATCAGGTGTCTTCCACTTGTGTTGCAATGGAAGTGGAACAATTGTATACTAAGAAGCTGACCACCAATTCGATGCTGGGTAGGATGGCTCCAGGTTCTAAACAGTGCCTTGACCACAGCGGGGTTAAAACCCTCATTGGTCTTTGACAATGACTGGAAAGTCTGTTATTTTGTACATCCTCATCAGTATCCTCCTGTATGCTGCCCTATCAGGTTCCTAATTACAACCTACTCCTGCTCCCTCTCCACACTCTCACCAAAGGGAACTTGTGTGTGTATCCATGCCTCTGGTGAACTGGAATACAAGCTATTTTTTTTCCCTCCACCGGGCTGAAACTCACTCATGCCCTGTGTTCACCATACACAAGCCTCACATGTTCGCATAGTGCCTGCATGAATTAAATCAAGTGATGATTATTCTTCATCAGTAGTGTGATGTTATTCGCAGTGTTCTTCCTGAGAATGACCTGGGGCAGCACTTGGGTATCTGAAAGAAGAAAACCAGAAGGGCCGAGCGAAGTGTTGTAGGATGGGGAGCAAGATGTCCATGCTTATAATTTCTGCAGTTTGCCTGTTATTGCTGATAGCAGGATTTAGGAAGATTTTAGAAGGGGCATCAGCCTTCCAATGATTGGAGTGCTCTGGCAACTAAGTGCAGCATGATAATGCAGAGGCGTGCTTTAAGTGGATCAAGAATGTGCCATGACGGTGCGGCGAGACTATCATGTCAGAAGACATGGGGTATAAATGGCTGCTGCCCTGGGAAAGTTCCCAGAGGTGACTTTGCTGGTGTCAGTAATGGAGGTTAGACGAGTAAGAGTGCATTGGACTCGCCAGTTACCATGACTTTCATGTCATGTGCTTTTACCACCTAGTTTCTATCCACTGGATGGCAGAAGAGAAGAGTGCATATCACTAAGGCATGATTAAATAACAATGAGGATGAAATGAGCAATAGTCTCAATTGAAAGGACTTGGGCTACTCACTAGCGAGAATCTCATTCGAATGTCTGGAACTTAATTGGAAAATGTAATTTGTTTCTCCCAATGTGGAGAAACATCTTGTTTGACTTTTCATAATATTCCCCCAAAGTTCTTGACAATTGTACATGTTGTTCAGGGCCTTGGAAGATTCCAGCCTTTGTTTCCAATTTGAAGGCAATTATAGCAGATTGCTTTACAAAGGAAATGCTGATTTTTAAAGGTGGAAGCTAGCTGGATTAGGTGCGAGCCTTAGATGCTGGTAGACACTTGTTGAATAAAATTTAACCAGCCTGCAGCTCAGATCCTATTCTGTTGAATGCTACAAACATGAAACGAGGTGGGCAGCATCAAGTTTGCAAGCTGCTTCCCCTCAGTGCTATTAAGCATTTACAAATTATGAACTGTGATCCCTGCAGAGATTTCATGTTGGTTTGTGTCATGATTGCATCTTTACTGTTCAGTTGACTTCAACAATAATGCTGCAGAAAGACAATGACTGCAGACAAAATATTTCCTAGTTTGTATCAAGAAAAAATGGGAAAAATAGTGATTAATGCTGTTGATGTTGCAAATCTTTTAGAGTTATTGAACTCCCTCATTGGTCAAGATTCAGAAGGACATCTTTTTCTTTATAATGTTAACTTTGCTATCACCGAAAGTGGATGCATCTTGGCTAAATTCAGAAAGGTGCCTGATTTTCAGTCAAAATATTCCAATCAATAGAAATGTTTTTACTTGAAACTACTTAAACATCGCCCTTCAGGAGCACATGATTTAAAACAATGCAGGAAGTCTTTTTCCAGCTCACAGATCTTGATGATAAGCATGAGTGAAATGATTTTGTGGACACTTGTGAGACAAGTTTAGGATTCCTCAGCTTGAGTTGCTCTTTAGGATGGTGCAACTTGTCACTGCTCACACTCCAGTTAATAATCTGTTCGTCACAATTAACTCAAAGTTAGCTAAACAAAGTTTTGGTTGTTTGAGCTTGTAGGTATCAGATGTCTTCTAATTGGGACATTATGTTTGTACAACTTAATTTGGGATTTACCAAGTGACAATATCCCATTCTTATTCTAGAAACAAATTACTTAATTTGAGACTGAAAAATAGTCTTTCCACCATAGGGCCTTGTGGTGCAGTCATTAGTGCCCGTAACTCTGAGCCACGTGGGTTGGGTTCACGGTCCATCTGCTCTAGAGGTGTATAATAGTAACTCTGAACAGGAATTATCAGGAAACTAGGAATTCCCTAGCTTCGCAGCTCACGTGTGCCTGGGAGATTACAGAAGCAGGACTGCTCAGTGGAAATTACTGAGCTCTTATATTCATGAAAGAAGGATATGAAACACAACATATCTGATTTAAATCTGTATAAAACACCTTCTGTGTATTACCCAAGCTGAATCCATTCTGTAATTTAATTACTGTGCTTGAATGGTGTTTGACTGATGAAGTTGCTGACCACTGAAAGTGGTAGTCTAGTTCCTAGTCACCACTTAAATCAATGTTACCATGACTTAGTACATTTAATTGCGTAATGAAAAGATTATTTCTCATTTGTAGTGTTCATTATGGTGATGAGTGGTGCTTGCAACTTCATTTTTTTTTGCACCCATTGACAGCACTCGGTAATCTTGGGTTATATATTGGTGCACAATTCAGTTAAAATGGGAGGTTATTTCTCAATGGTTTCAAAAACACTTTCATTCTGCAGTAAAGAAAGGGGACTCTTAAATTTACAGGAAGGACATTTTCATGATTTGTGCAGTATTATCTGTCAAATTTGAAGAATGATTCACATCGTCTCAGTGTAGAAATTAGGCAAACTCAATTTATTTGAAATTCTTAACATTTGCTTGGGACAAACAATCTTTATTTCTTTTCCCAGGGTAGGAATCAAAGCTGAGCCTCTATAAACAAAGTGTGCGGGTCAGTTGCTGCAAACTAGTCTGCATTGGAAGTAATAAAGTCTGATCAGGAGACCTTTTGTGCAAGAACTGTTTACACTGGTAGCTTCACTGTTACAAAATATATTGCTGCAATTTTTCAAGTTGGAAAGATTTGACCTTTATTCTTTCCATTAAACCAGGAAGAAGCTTTAGGGGCCAAAGCAGTTTTAAAATGATTGTAAATATTGAAAACAGAGAATCTGTTCTTTCAGTTTTGTGACAAATTTTAATGACACTGAAGAGATCCGAACCTTTGCTGTTAAAAGATTCTACTGATGACCTTTATTCCTTAGTGAGCAAAATGTTCTGGCTGAAGATTTGTTTTTAAGCATATTTCTTCCCTTGAGGAACTCTTGTTTATATTCCCCCTTAGATCTACTGTTTCCCTGAGTCCCACAGAACTGATCCTCATAATTATAAATTTTCTTCCATACAAAGCTTTCATCTGGAGTATTTTAATTTCCCAAGAGTTGTTTTGTTCATTTAGCTACCATAATTCTTACAAATATTACACAGTACTATTTCACACATAAACCTACAAGCTCCCTGTTGGATTACTGATAACCTTTAAATTGCAGCTGCATATTTCAGGGGAGTTTCTCTTTATTTGGATGATGTGTAATACATTGCTCCCACAATTTTTGACATTTTGCTCTGATGTTACCTCCTTAAAGAACCATTCAGTGTCTCTTCAATTCTAAGTATCCATACTTTCATGCTCATTTTCTGTAGTTCTTTTCTCTCTTGCAAATTTACCTCATTTCAAACAAAGCCCAATGACATTGTTTTTCCATACTCTTGTTCCTGAAGGAATAATCTTGCAGTCCCAATACGATATGACGAAATGTGATATTTAATAGTCCCTTTGAAAGATAGTGCTTTTTTAATGTCGCATCCATTGAAATACCTTGAAATTTTACAACTATGTGAAAGCTGAACACTTATTTGTGAATTTTATATGGTTTCAAGTGTTAAAGCTCTTCACCAGTCTTTTTGAAAAATTTGATCTTTAAACTAAAACCTGAGCCCTTCTAAACTTAGCTGGAAAATACAATGTGAGAAAGCATCTTTTATTGTATCCTATTTTGCAATCATAGTCAAAGTCTATTTTTGATAGGATCACAAAAAATAGGGGGAATAAGACCAGCATTCGCTTTTACTAAATATAATTGAAGTAATTTTCTCGTGCCTGGCAGGCAAGCATCTGATTTAGAATATCCAACACTAACTTCAGAGATAAAATAGCTTGGAATAGCCTGGAAAGTTTTGGTATAATTACAGTATCCGTATGACATTCAACTGGTTGACCTGAGGAAAGTGTAATTTATGCCAGCTTTATCCTGAATCACTCCAAGATACATGTCCTGAAAAGCCTTTGATATTCATGTACATAACAGTACCTACATACAAGGGAGCAGTTTGTACAAGTTTTTTGTGCGTATGTGCATAACAGAAGAGACTTGACTGAAGGCAATCCTCTTGAAGAGTACCACTTACCTACCATGGTTTTTCTGGTAATATCCTGGGTTTTACCGATCAGAAATGCATCCATTGGTAAAGCTGGGGAGAAATCCACTTTGCATAGTGGCATCGTCACAGGCCAAGACACGTCTGGTGGCTAAGAAAGTAAAATGTCCAGGTGTTTTATCGGATATGGTGCAAGGTGAGTGATTGTGGTATGGTACCAATTGGTTGAGTCCATAGACTCCAAGGGAGGTGAGAACAGTAAGGTACAAGATGGGTGCGGAGGCTAGCATGCCAGCTAAATGGCTGAGTGCTTGGATTAG